GGAGTAATGATGGAAAAGAGGCAGTCACTTTGGACTGTCACCATAAAGCCAAGAGGACAGAGTAGAGGGGAAGTCACATATGGGATTCAGTATTGTTGTCAAAGAACCATACATCATACTCTTCATTTACATGAAGACCAAAAACTCTCCCGTACCAAACCAGAGATTTGTTTTTAACCTGCCTCAGTGAAGACCCTTCCTCAGGGAGAGAGGTCAGTGGCAGGCGTCCATGGTTTAGTTGAAGGCTTCTGCCCAGCTCTACTCGCAGAGACTAGATTCCTGGGGAATCTGCCTAACCATTGCTATTCGCATCCTGAAAATGAAAAAATTCATAGGAAGCACTATGCTAAGGAGACTAAGGGAGAAAGCGTTATTTTTAGTCATGGTTAGAGCATGTCCCTAAAGTGACACAAGAATGGATAGACTTAGAAAACTGAGAACCTGAAAGTCCACAAGGGCTGGTATTAGACGTTATTTCTAGATTTGATGACAGTCTGTCTCACTGCCTTAGACAGACTATACGGCAAGGTGGAGAATAGCTAAGATTCATACCTTGAATTCCTAAACACCAATCGACAAGATAGAGAGAAGTAAAAGGCGACACAGAGGAAAGTCACCCAAGGGTAGCTCACCTTTAGGTAGGAAAGACTAGGTGGATTCACCATCTTCCTCATCTTACTGAGAACACAAACCTGGGGTGGGGGCGGAGGTTAAATGTTGATACTGATGTGTTCACTTGCCTGGAAAATTTCAAATTCCCCAGCTCCTCATTTTCATAGAACGAAGGTTGATTAGCAAGTAGGCTGAGCACAGCCTGTCTTCCATGGCACCAAGAGAAATCTTATCCACCCAGTGCAAAGAAAAACAAAAAATGGAGTGGGTTGGGAGTGGGAAGAGGAGTGGGATCCCACAAAGAAAAAGTGGTCTCCTCTTGTGACGAATGTGAATTTAACAAAGAAAAACATATAACAAGGTGGAGAATTTCATTCATCAGAATTCAAGCTAATACTCCTAATCGAGGAGGTCAGACCCTAAGAGGACCCTGTGTCCCAGGGCACTGGACACAGAAGGGAATGGAGCAGAAGGAGTAAGCCACTTCTGGGGGTGATTCAGTCAGAGTCGCTGCAGAAATAGGCTACAATCCACAGGTTAAATGAAGAGGGTAATCAAGGGGTTGTTTCCAAAGGTATAGACAGAGTCCAGGAACAACAAGGGAGGGTGAAGCACCAGTGACCAGCAACAGTGCAAAACCACTGTTTCCTCTTGGCCTGGAGGGGCAAAGAGGTGTCTGAGCTGGAGTTCCCCCAGAAGCAGAGGATGAGACAGGACTCCAGGGTGAGCAGTTTATGTGAGAAGTGAAGGAAACACCAGTAGGGTAGTAAGGAAATGAGACTGGGTAGGAAGGAACTGCTGTCAAAAAAGGGCAGCAAACCTGTGACCACTGTAGGCAATTGGCACTTAGAGAGACGGGCACACTCTGGGAGCCAGGATAAAACAGGCACAAGGTTAGCCACCCATGCCAGGGGAGCCACTGTGGCCCAAGCTGGGGATGGAAGATCCACCCAGGCAGGGTGTTAGAGCCCAAACAGGGTAGAAGGACATGCATGGGGTGGGAGCGGCCAGTGGGAGGAATCAGAGCCCAAGCTGGCCAATTCCAGGAGTGGGCAGCCAGGAAGGAGTCATCAGAACCCAGGTAGAGAAAGAATGACCACGTCTGGGAGGGGGTGCAACCGAGATGGGGGATTGAGTTCACACTGGGGCATTGATCAAATAAGGAAACAGGATAATAAGAGTCGGGTTTCTCACTGTCGTAAGAGGAAGAAATAGTAGAAAGGAATATATCTAGTAGTGTTGTATTGGAATTAAAGGCATAGGTGTAAACTTGTGGATTTCAACATATGTATGTAGGTACAGAAATAAAACAGATGTAAATGTGTGTATGTATGCATATATATGAATATATGTGCTTGCATATATATATACACGCATTTCCACCTCTAATTATATATATATACACGTATATATTGGTATACACACATATATACACTCATTTACAACTATATTTAAATATACATATTATTTATGCATATATATTTGTATACACACATATATGCACACACATTTACATCTATATCCCAGTTCTGTCCACTGAGGGGCCTACGAGCAGGGAAATCCCAATAAGAATGAGTATTTACAAATGCCTAGATATCGGCTTCTAAAAACCATTGCCCACTCAAAGAACCCAGGGCTCCTTGGAGAAACGGCTGATTCTAGCACTGCGACAGGGAGAACAGGAGCTGAGCCTGGACTATCTCGTTCTGCCGGAAAGCAAGGATGTGCTGAAAGATTGACGGGGATGTAGTCGAAGGACACCGAAGCCAATTTGAGTAGGCTCCCGCTGGCCAAGGATGGGACAATTTTAGCATCAAAATAAAATAATGATAGTAACAAGTGTTTACCCATTGAATAAAATAGGAAACCACACAGTTATAAATGAACAAATGAATAAATTGAAACTTTGATGATGAACAGAAGATTTACAAAATTTCAAAGTCCCTCTGCAGAAACTATTTATTAACTATAAAGATGAGAGAGTACTTTACAATGAAGAAGCTTGACAGACACACCTTAGTCAAGTGATCAAAATGAACATCAGTTATGTAACAAATCGAGATCATGAGCCACCTGATCGGATGCAATTAAAAGAATGTAGCATGGCTTCTGTGTTACTTTTGCTGAAGATCAATAACCTGATTTTAATTATGAAGACACATCAGACTGACCCACACGGAAGGACATTCTACAAAATAATTGCTTGTAATCTTCGAAAGAACCAAGGCCATGAAAGTCTGGCCTGAGGAACTGTCCAGACTGAAGAACATGACAAAGATGTGACAGCTAAATGCAAAGGGAGATTCTGGATGGAATATTTTGCTAAAAAATATATTACGGGGACACTCAGCAAAAACTGGAATGCAGTCTGAGGATCAGATGGCAGCAATGTACGGATGTTAATTTTATGATGTTGATGGTTTACTGTGGTTATGGAGGAGAGTGTTCTTTCTTTACATATAGGAAAAAGGATAAAATGCTTATAGGAAATACATGCTATTCGGAGATGATAGAGCATTAGGTCGGAAACTTACTCAGGAAAAGAGCAGTCTTTTTGCTGTACTTCCATATTTTTTATAAGTTTGTGGTTGTTTCAAAAGTTTTTTAAAAAATGAAAACGAAAAGAGCAACTGTTCCAAGCAATGTAACCATCTTCAAGAACAAGGTCAAATTTGTAAGTAATCATTTCCCTCCCCCCAAGAAAACACTGTGAGGTATATTTCAGTTGCTGAATCAAATGTTTATTCTTGAGTTTCCTACTACTACTAAAATCTATTTCATAATTAGCTCCTCTTAAAACCAGTTTCTATTTCACAGAAATTATATCCTTTAATAATTCACTTTGAAATATCCAGTGCTGAGGGTGAGGATGCTTCAGGGCACAACTCCAACAACCAGGCCCCACGGGCCACGTGGAGGCTCTCCTCCCCACCCCGCCCCCCACAGAAAGCTGCTAACAACTCAAGGAACACCTCTGCAAAGCCAGCCAGGGTGTCCACGTCAGCTGGAAACAGAGAACACCATTCTTGATTCAAATTACAAATTCAGTACTGTACTGTACACATCCAGCATTACACACGCTTAAAATAATATAAGCATGCACAATGACACATTAGGTCTCACTTTTCAAGTAAACATAAGCAGGCAGCTACCAATTTTAAAACCAGTAAATAATCTCGTTTTACCTAAAGTTAGAAATGTTGTTGCATACACATTGGCTGCTTCAGAAGCCTTGGGCATGCAGACAGGAAGAGGAGAAAATATTTCAGCTAAGAGTAATCACATTGCATGTATTTAAAAATCTTTCCAACCAAATCATATTCAAAGGAAGACTCTCTCGAAGGGCCATGGCCAGTTTCCAGGCTGAGTGGGTTCCAGGAGAGGGAATCACGCTGATGTCCCCTGACACAGCTGTGCTTCTTCACAGATCCTGGAGGTACAAGTGCAGGCAGACCCACTGTGGTCCCCAGGGTGACTCCAGACTCTGGGGGCAAGAGCACGGGGTTGTCCCTGGCTCAAGAGACCTTGGAATTCCCCCAGGTCTGCATGGCGGCTCCAGGCTGATGGGGGCCGTTCCAGCCTGTCCAGCCCAGAGGCAGCACTGCTACAGTTCGGCAGTGGCCTTGGGAACTGCTGAAGGGATCATTGGCTCCACCCCCAGGACAGTGCTTGACAGTGAAAGATGGTTTTGTTTGTTTGCAGTTTGAATATGATCTACAAAAATAGCCTAACTGGTAATTAATAGCACCATGAAAACATAGATAATGGTAGAAAACAGTATCACAAAATGAAGTCGCTTTTGGTTCTGGGCAACGTTTCCTGCCACTAACGTCAGTAAGTCAACAAAGTAAACCATTCTGACTAAATCTGGGGAAGTAAGACAAATAAGATGTCTTTCTGGAGCAAAAACATGCTTGTAGGAAGAAGGTAGGCAAGTTATAGTCATTAGGCTGCCACTATATATATATATATATAAAATCGAGCAGAGGAGGGAAAAAACGTAGACATAGCTCCCTACGCAGAGTGTCTGTCAAGTAGTCATGTAGAAGCATTTTTAAAAAGGAAAAGTGAGGGCAGCAGAGGCATCTGAACTCTTGGTGGAGTGGTCAACAGGGGCTCAAAGAGCTCTGTGAACTAATGTGTTAGCATACTATAGTTACATGTCCACAGTTCAGAAATAAAATAACTACAGTTTTGAAGCATCTCCCTCTACTGTCTGATTGAAATGCCCATCCCTACTGGAAGAAGAGGTAGTCTGTTAGTGAACTGCGGACAGATGCTGGCCCTGGGCTGCCCTATTGCTTTGCAGATTCAGTACCCTTAGCATCTTTAAAAAATTTTTGTAGATCATGTGTGTTTACTAGCTGGTGCATTGCTAGAAGCATGTGTGCAGACAGGGATTCCGTCCCAGTGAGGTCTATGTGTGAGCATGAGCTGGGCTTGCTAGAAAGCTAGTTGCGAGCGGGTGTTGGTTTTGAGAGAACTCAACAGTGCTGAGGCAGTCTGTTAAAATCCCTACTGACTGACAGAGCCACTGGTCCAGACTGAACAGAACACCAGTAGAAGATGTATGCAGTCAAATCAGGTCAGACTCTCCGTGGTTCAGGAAATGAGAGAATCTTGCACTTCAAGCTGGAGGGAGCTGGCCAACATGGTTCACGCCTGGGTGCCAGAGACTTCCATATGACGGGTCACATCTGTAACAAAATTTAGCAAGAATTCTTTAAAAGCTCTCCATGTGCCAATAACCTTCAACAAGATTTCTCCTTTCCTCTGCCTCTTGTAAAAACATACACACGCACACGCATGCACACACACACGCATGCACACACACACATACACCCCATCCAGACTCTTCTTATGCTTCAAAACCCAGCAGCAGTTGCACATTTCCCATGAAGTTTTACCCAGCCCAGTCTCAACTCCTATGACAGACATTATCTGAACGCTATACTTTGCCATTAATTGAGGACTTTTGACACTATCATGTGACTCCAACTCTCCATGCCAACACATCGCCTCTCCCAATGACATTACAAACTGAAGACAAGGACTGCCTTGGGTCTCCCCTCCCTCTACCCAACACACATTACTCAGTATGGTGCTATTCATGTAATAATCATCCAATAAATATTTGACCTAGATTCAATATTCATTTATTTATTTAATAAACATCTCTTGAGCACCTGCTGTGTGCTAAGCCTGTGGAGTCATCTGTTTGGGGACCTACCCTCCAGAAATTTTATGAAGCCTATTTTACAGAAGTGCTGGTCATGCTCTGCAGGGAATTGTGTGTGCATAATGCTTTCAGAATACAGAAGAAAGACCTGCCTACCCTCAAGAAGCTTACACTCTGGCCATTTTCACAGTTATTATTACTTTACATCTAATTGCAAGGTATATGCTAGGCTTGGCAGTTGGGTATGAAACCGGCCACCTTTGATTCCAGCCACAGCTGGAGGGGACACTTCTGCACATGCTGACCATTCGAGCAAAATAGCCCTCCCGTGCATTTCGCTGCTTTTCTGCCTCAAGGCTTTCTCTGAAGACTTGAAAGCAGGCTCATCCCAAGCACCTGGCACAGCTCAGGAACGAGGGAGAATTAATGCCCCCTGCAGGCAACCCCAAGCCAGTGGGGACGGGCGCCAGCAGATAGATGTCCTACTTGCTTTCTTCAGGAGAACAGTCTGGGAGACATCCGCACACGTCTCAGAGGTCCTGTGGCCTCTAGCTGAGACCTTGGTAAAGTACCCTTCATTTGCTTTTCCTCCTTGTCCGTCTCACTCTCCCTGCTCCCTCACCCCTTCCTCCTGGGGTCACCTTCCAAATGAACTACTTGCACTCAGGTGTCTGTCTCAGGGTCTGCTTTCAGGGGTCCACTAAGGCAGAACACATTATTACGAGCACAGAGACCCAGAGAAAAGATTTTAATAGCAAAATAATGAAACACAAGCTCTTTGCTAGTGTCTCTGGAGAACCAAAGGAATCAGTTGGTATCAATCTGTCTCATCTAAAAAATGAGAAGATGGACTAAAGGAGCGTTTGGCTCCCTTCCCGTGCTATAATCCCATGACAACAGACGCTATGTGCTTGCCTTTTATACAGTCCTTCTCCACTGAGTGGTGGCAAAAAGGCGGTGGCTTCTGTCTCACCGTCTGCCTCACATCATTGCAACCTCAAAGGCATTAGGATTACAGATTTTCCACAATGGATGCTTCAAACTTTCTGGATGCTCCACAATGTGACAACCCTCTCTCCACGGAGAAGGTCAAAGTCCCACCTAACTGGCCTTCTGCGGCCATCCAAGTCCCCTAAACCTCACATTCTTTACATCGAAATAACTGAATATCTTCACCAATTTCTCCTTCTTCCCCTTGGTAGCACCAGCCCAGATCTCTCTTCCAAATCTCAGTCCCAAATCTCCATATATCTGTGTAGCCCCCACAGTGCCTCACTCAGTAATTTACATTTTTAACAAGGAAGACTTAGAATCATCTCTATTCTTGAAATATCAATTAGAAAATTGCTCTGATACAATAGTGGCTTATGAACTTTTGTTTGTTTATTTTTAATAGTGGTTTACAAATTTATTGTTTGTTTTCAATGTACTTCAGAAAACATAAATTCAGTTAAAGTGAAAATTCAGACTTTCACAGAAAATACTAAAATTAGGCCTGAGAGACATTTTCTCTTCCTTTAAAATAAGAATTAAAATTCCAGGCTTAATGTCAAGAGCTCTTCCCTTCCCAAACCCCCAGATGGAGCTGTACCTGCGAGTCTCGGCTTTTTAGCTGTGTTCACTGAGGCCATGAACATGTATTCACTATTAGGGTCGTGCACACTGGAGCGATACTTCTGGAAGAAAAAGTCAGAAACATGGTTTGTCAGCTACTCTTCCCCATATCCATCCCTGGTTTGCTGCTCTTGTTTGTTTGTTTTTGCTGTTTTCTAGTCTTTGTTGAAGTAGTATATAACAGAAGTGTTACAGTGTGACTTCGGCTCCTGACTGTAGGCTAAGCAGGAGTCCAATATGAAAAGAGCTTTCTGCCGAACTTCCTTCCTCCTTTTTGCCTTTATTGTTCCTTCCCCAGTAGACTTAGATCATGGGCCCTCTCCCACTCTCTTCCCTCTTTATCTCTCTTGTCAAGTGCCGTTCTGCGCAGATATACACACTGTCTGGTCAGTGATGACCCTGTGGACGTACTTGCAGAATATGCAGACTGGGAACCTGTATTGTGAAAGACTAAAAGTCACATCCCCCAGCACAGAGATATTTTGCTGTTGTCATTGTTGGTGTTGTTTTATCTTTATGCTTAGCTTTTCGGTGGTTTTCTTTAAAAGCAAGGAGTCCTAATAACTCACCATGTAAAGAAGCTGGCTGCTTCCTTCCCAGTTGCTCCTGGCACCTTCTAAGATGTTCTCGCTGATTGGTTTTTACTTGACCAGTTGAGTGACAACTAATTGTTTCGTCTTTGCTTTAACTCTTACGAAGCTTAGAATCAAATTTGCTGCCCACATTTAATAATTTTTAAAAGTTAGAAGCGTCTATTTTTATGTTTTAATTTTTCTCCTGACTTTTTGTCTTCCTTGGACCCAATTTCCTTTTCTCTTTTGAATAATAATAATAATATCTCTCTCTCTAAGCCATTGACTCCTTTTTGGAATACAGTGGCTGTAAAATAAATGAGCTTTTGTTCCAAGTTAGTAGCCAAATTAGTAGATATATCTTGAGGAAAAGAAATCATCTACCTGTTGATTAAATTGCTCTGGCAAGAGCAGTATGTGCAGTAAATAACCACTGATATTCCTCAGTAGAACAGATGCAAGAAAAGGTAGAAATTGCTCACCTTTTTTACAAGCCAACATATAAGTACACAGGCGAAAATGTAGACCACCACAAAAGCCGCACATCCTATGGGTAACCAGAACTTCAGTTGGCAACAAAGCTGTGATTCTGGGTTGGAAAACAGACATGTTAAGGAAAAAGTCTGAGAATCAAATCTTCTCTTTCTGTGCTGCATCACAAGTGCTTTTACCAAACTTAAAAGAGCTATTTAATCACACGAAGCTTTTCTTCATTACAATCACGAAATCCAGTAAATGGTAAATAACGTTATCTTAGTATTAGAGCAAGGATCCAAAAACTAAAACCTAAAAGACTCTATACACGTATATGTTTACAAATGTGGTTAATAAAAAGGGCTTTTCTGTCTCTATTTTGCAGTAAGTAGGAAAAGCAATGATATAAAACTATTATTTTCAATCACCTCACTTCAAACCCAGCATAAAACACAAACCTTAAACCTTAGGTAAATAGAGGTTATAGCCATTAAGCCATGGGTTTGAGCAATTGTCTTAACTTTTTTCCCTGATTTTAATGGCATATGTGTTTTAAAGACAACATGACCTATTTCTAACTCAGCAGTCTTCATGATTAAATTGCATATGACTGATTAATACTAATTTTTATTATTAATAATAAATCATCCCTTGCATATTTTCATCATAAATGATTGCCATCAATTGCACTTAAATCAACTCCAACACAAAAGATACTTATTTGTTTAATTGTTTTCATTAGTGAGAAAATCGTCAAAATGTGTATGTATTTTTAAGTCTGGGAGATGAAAACAATGTCTTACCATAAATATGCAAATATTCTTTGCTAAGAACGTCTTCTAGAAAAGGAGGAGGATCAAAAACGAAGAGTTTGCACGAGTAGTAGCTGGCGTGGGAAGTGTCCAGGTTAGACAGGAAGAAAGACACACTGTTGTTGGAGAGCTGAGACTGACAGAACTTCAGGCTCCTCACGGGCGCCGTGTCTCCACTCTCCTCAGTCTTCGTGAGGTTGCAGAGGACTTGCCTCCCTTTCAGCAGCTGCATTTTAAACTGCCGGACAGTCTCGGGGTATTTGCATGAAATTTGTACACCTCCGTCGTGAAATGTAAACATCTCAGACTTGGCAGAATCATTGATTTTTCCTGGATAAAAAGAAAGACAGCAGAGCAAACATCACACTTTATGAATACGTTGGCCTAATCATTATATTCGAACAGAGAAGTAATCTCTTCATAAAGCCACCTCTACTGCACCCGAATGAAAGACCCCCACAACCAAAAAAGAGAACAAGACCAAAGGTGAAACTGTTGAGGAGAAAACCTAAGCAGACGCTTGCATGTCGTATACGAATGTATGACGTGTAACATGTGAAATCATACCGTTGCAGGGTATGAATCAAGCAGATATGGTTCCCGCCCTTCAGCAGCTTTCATTATTGGAGAAAGATGGTAAACAAATAAGTATGTAGTAATGCCCCGTAATTCGTGCCAGGAATGCAGTGCTCCTCGAATAAGGCAGGTGGGTTGGGGTCTAATTTTGATTGGAGAATCAGAAAATGCCACTGTAGCAGTGACTTTTAAAATTGAAGTTGAGGAGGATTAGCACTTAGTCAAACAAGGAGAGATTTGGGGAAAGGTGTAGCTTAGGACAAAAACTTTTACAAGTATAAAATAGCTTAAACTGAAAATGGATGATTATATATATTTACACTATACCCTCCTGCTAGAGAGTAAAAGGACGGATGAAGCATTTTCAAATGATAGAAATGTGTCTTCTCTGCGCACCATCGAGAACTGAATGAGGTCTGAGGACAAAGGTGAGCTCCAGGTTGCTGTTTACTTTTCCACTCTTTTAATAAATTGTAAGCTTCTAGGAAGCCAAGCTTGTTTTCATGAGCTGCGTAGGGATCACAGAGGGAAGCATGTGAAATGGCTTTGGCCTGGTTGCAGATTCTGAGTTGTCAGGGTTTAAGTTCAAACTGATCTTTGCCTTCCTTTTTTCTTTTTCTTTCTTCTTTTTCTTGTTTCTTTTTGTGTGTGTGTGTGTGTGTGTGAGGAAGATCAGCCCTGAGCTAACATTCGATGCCAATCCTCCTCTTTTCGCTGAGGAACATTGGCCCTGGGCTAACATCCGTGCCCATCTTCCTCCACTTTATATGGGACGCTGCCACAGCATGGCTTAACAAGCGGTGCATTGGTGTACGCCCGGGATCTGAACCTGCGAATCCATGGCCGATGAAGCGGAGCATGTGCACTTAACTGCTTGTGCCACTGGGCTGGCCCCCTTCTTTTTCTTTTTTTAACATGAGAAAGTTTCATGCTGAAACTGTTTGGGAAAAATTATTAGCATGACAGTTCTTTACTTAAGTTTTGAAATCTCTGTCTTTTGTCTTGAGAAAAGTATGTAACAAGTGTAAAGAATTTTTAAGAAAAAAGAATTACCTAGTCCTCCAGTGAAATAGAGATATTATTTGTGTATTTTTGCTCTTTATACTTGTTTTATATAGCAAACATATTATTTTGTGTTCTGCTGTTGTCAGTGAATGTTATACCATAAACATTCCATTTTTTACATAGTTATTATAATTATCCTTTTTAATGACTATATAATAGTCCATAATGTTAATCTATCATAATTTATTAAAGCATTTCACTAATGTTGGACATTGGGGTTATTTTTAGCATTTTGCTTTTATGTAAATATTATAACATTTGGTCAAAATGTTATTTTTGTTAATGTTACACATTATTTTAACACTCTGTATTGCCATGTTGCTTTCTGGAAGAATTGCTCCAATTTATAAGAGGGCTAGCGTTATGGAAGGGGATCATTTACCACAACTCTGCTTGCACTGGTTGCTTTAATTTTATTTAAGATTCACCACAGTTTCTTACTTTGTTTAATATCTCTAGGCTTTAACTGATGTCTCTCATATTACTAGGGAAGAGATTTTCAACTTGGGGAATTTGATTGTGAAAATACACACACATGTTCTACTTTTCAGTTATGTCCAGATTATTCAAACTAATTCCCACACCAAAACAACCAAAAATGCTGAACAAAGTGTCTAAAAATATTATTAAAAGGATTAAAGAGATGACAAAAGGAAGAAAAATTACTAGGTTAAATTTGGAGAACCAGAGAGATGAGCAGAGCTTGGAAGCTGCTTTTACTCTAAGAGCATTTGCTGTTCTCCCAGATTCAAACTTTTGTTTTTCTGTCTCAACTCCTAGAGTCTACAAAGTGAGAAATCTAGTAGAAGACCCTCCCCTCAAAAATCTGGGACTCCAAAGAGTTCCATCCTTGGAATACAGGCAAACCAGAAGTAAACCAGCCCCTGTGCAGATTGAAACCCACCTTCAAGTCACTTCAATAGTCTGGAAAACCTCAATCCTTGAACTTTGTTTAAGATGATTTTGGACTATTACTACCCCTAGGCTTTTGAAAGTAAAAATGCAAACTATTCTAGAAAGAAAAGATTTACATCCTAGGCCTCAAGTCGTTTCTACAAATAATATTTAAATACAATGACAAGCACACCATAAAAAATAATCAGACATGCAAGGAAACAAGATAACAAAAACAACAGACTACAGAAACAAACCCACAAATAATTATATCTTTGAATTATCAGATCTCCAAAACAGAAATAAAAATTAAACTTGTAACAATATCTGCAGAGCATAGGAAACTAAAAAAAAAAAAAGTCAACTAATTTGAAGAAGAACCGACTAAAACTGGCAAAAAAAAAAACCCACACTGAGATTAAAACTCAATGGATAGGTAAAGATCATATTAGACAGAGCTAAAGGGAAAGCTGATGAACTGGAAAATAGGTTAGAAAAATTATTCAGAATTAGTCATAATCCACAGATTCAAGAATCCCAGCAAATCACAAGTAGATATGTGTGTGTGTGTGTGTGTGTGAGGAAGATTAGCCCTGAGCTAACATCTGTTGCCAATCCTCCCCTTTTTTTGCTGAGGAAGATTGGCCCTGGGCTAACACCTGTGCCCACCTTTCCTCTACTTTATATGGGACACTGCCACAGCATGGCTTGATAAGCAGTGCGTCGGTCCGTGCCCAGGATCTGAACCCGCAAACCCGGGGCTGCCGAAGTGGAGCACGCGAACTTAATGGTTATGCCACCAGGCTGGCATGTAGATTTTTTTTTAAATATGCACATCTAGACATATCATAGTGAAAATCCTAAAAGCGGGCAGAGAAGAGATTGATCACCTTCAAAGTAGCAACTATTAAACTGACAGGTGATGTCTCAACATCAACAATAAAAGCCCTGATACAGTGGAATTATGTCCTATATCTTCAATGTGCTGAAAGAAATGACCTGTCAACCTAGAACATATTGTCTAGGAGGATAGTAAAGGTATATGTAACTTGGAACTTTGATAAGTGAAGTATGCATGTTGCAATTTCTTGCAGAATATATAATCTAAATGAATATCACAGAATCCAGTCTAACAGTTCGTATAAAGGAGGAGAACAGTGGAATCAAGAAGGAAAACACAGGAGTGGAAAGGCTTCTGTGAGCTGACGATGTTTCATTTCTTAACCTGTGGTGACCGCGGGAGTGAGGTGGTATGCTTTATAATTATGCATTAAATTGTACATTTATATTTGTTCACTTTTCTGTATAGATGTTTGTTTCTAGAATTAAAAAGTTTTAAAAGTATAGAGAAGGAAAATAATGCTCATTTCATTTTAAAAACAGAGGGAACAATGTAAGCAAAAGGCAAAGAGGAAAGAACTGATGGCCTGAGGGGAGATGCAGTCTATATCCGATTGAAATGGAAGGTGTTTTGCTTGGGGACGTGCTTGTCTGAAAGGAAATTATGTTGCTCTACTATTGTTTTGATGCTTATGTCTCTACTATCTGCTGCGGAAGTTAAAATCAGGGGGCTGGTTCTCAGATCCTTTAGAAATGTTCAGAGCAAATTTCCCAAGGACTTGAGAATGGCAGCAAGTAAACCACAAAGAGATCTTGAAGCAAAAGTGTCCACGGCCACGGTGTGCACACACAGTCGTAGATGCAATGCCTTCTACTTCTGAAGATGATTTGTCAGCAGCTTTCTCCCCTCTTGTGCCCACACTGTGACTTATAACCCAACGCAAGATGAAACATGGTGGTCGGCGGTACAGGGTGCAAGTTCAATGCAGTGGTTCCCAAGGAAACCAGAGGCAAATTCTGGCTTTGCCGTTAGCAAGCCTCTGTGACTAGAGTACCCCTCTGGACTTCAGTCTCTTCATCTGTGATAAAGGAAGTGAGAGCAAAACATCTTAAAGTTCTTTCCAACACTCACTCCCTATGGATCCAGGATCAGAACATATCCAGATGAGACTACAAACAACTGAGAGACCCATTGCTTTGCCGTCGGGTCCTCCAGAGGAGAAACCGTGTTCCCATAATCCTCTCTCAGTCCCGGCATAATACTAGGCTGTTCCAGGGAGTCAGGAGAGATGAAGATGAATGAGACTATCTTCCTTGCCCATAAAAGTATTTAGGTAGGGTTAGGAAGACGACCTAAATTTTTTGCTAGTGGCAGTGCCAAGGGTGTGTGCCATTGACATCAGAGGAGTAACTGGGGATTCCAAAGTGTCATTTCCACTGGACACGCTTAATTTCTCTTTGTATCATTTTTAGTCTAAAAACTTCCTAGGTCACTTTTTTATTACTAAATGTAATGATAAGAAGCCTGACTTGAGTTTCCACATCCCCAGTGCTTAAGATTTCATCTGGAAAACAATTTGGCAACTCTAAATCTGCAATTTAACTGTTTTCAACTAAAGAAACTCTGGTTTCTGGCATCTAACCAATTGCTTCATAATTACTTTGGCACCTATAGAACAGATCTGCTCCAACGCCTGATCACAAATTCCCCTTAGCCTTGGTGACATTTGAAGAATAGTATCAAAAGGAGATCACCCCTATGACCATGAGTAAAGCATTTCATGGAAAGACAAACAATTTAAGGAAAATCTGAATACATTCGTTTCTTATAACTGAAGAAGCAGTTAGAATCTTTTCTCCACCCTCCCTGGGGTTCTTATCTCCAAGTCTAGTATTCAACCAGGGGTAGTAGTACGATAGCACCAATTTTTATACCAGCGTTTGTTTTGATTGGTTGGGTATCAAGTTTGGTCAGTTCCTCTGCCATGCCAGTAGTTAAACTTGTGAGTGTCCACCTCACCAGTCTTTTTCTTCCTT